GACCCATAAACACAAAACACTTAACCACCAGTTTAGCCCATCTATGCTACTTAGGAAATAGGAGCTAATAAAATCCATACATGGAGGTTAGAGATGATCATAGATGTGAACAGTCTTTGACAACAAAGCAGCTCAAAATCTGGGCTAAAAATTAGTTACAAACACTTCCGTGATTATAAAAGGTTGTGAGACTAGTATAAAGATGATACAAGTCAACTCACCTTTTAAACTGGTAATGTTCATTTGTTACAGTAAGAATTTGACCATAATGACATATTTGTAGTAAGAGAACACATTGCTTGCTTTCTTCTTTTTTTCGCAAATGGCATACTTAAAAAAAAAACAAAAAACTTGTCTGCTATTAATGAGATTATGAGACAGAAGAATTGTTCTAGACCAGGATCCAGATTACAGACAGAACCTACATGTGCTCTAAGTCTCATTTTGAGGAGGTCAACTATAATAAATGCTTCTGTTGCCTCCTTGTTTTCCATCTTACACTGCCCATACCTTGGGACACCTTCCCTCTCAGGACACTGTCTTACCTCGTGGGGTTGTTGGTACTGAGAGGCCATCAGAAGGAAAGACCGCTGGGCCTGGAAAGCGCTGTGCACCATTTCTGCCTGGGAACAAAGAGGAAGATGGCAGTTTCCATGTTTGACTCCTAAAAATTGTTACCATATAATCAGGCAATTCCACCTGTAGGTATATACCCAAGAAAAATGAAAATATATCTTCACACAAAAACTTGTAAATGAATGTTCATAACAGCATCATATAACAACCAAAACATGGGAACAACCCGAATATCCATCAACTCGTGAACCAATAAACAATATGCGATTGATCCATACAAGAGAATATTATTCAGCATGAAAAACAGACGAGGTACTGACACCTGCTATGACACAGGTGACCCTTGAAAACATTATGCTGAGTGAATGAAGCCAGTTGCAAAAGAGTACATTTGTATGATCTCATTTATATAAAATGTCCAGGAGAAGCAAATCAATAGAGACAGAAACCACTACAGATGAGTGGGTGCTGGGGCTGCTGGGAGGGAGGAATGGGGAGTGAACTGCTAATGGGTATGGGGTTTCCTTTGCGGGTGGTGAAAATGTTCGGGAAATAGACAGTGATGATGGTTTCAAAACTTGGTGAATATACTGAATCATACACTTTAAGAAGGTGAATATTATGACATGTGAATTATACTTCAATAAAGTTGTTAAAAAATGTTGGAGCCCCAAAGTGCACTTGTTTTCAAAGGCTGTCTCTCTCTTATCCTCTTTCACATATGCCCAAATTCTATTCTACACCTTCGGGAGGAAAGAGAATTGTCCTTTAAACCACCCCCATTTAGATATGCTCACTGAAAGCCAGTGGCTTCTAATCATTAAGATGAGCCCAGGAGAGATTTCAGTGCCATCTGGGCCCTGGTAGAGGGGGCCACACCTGGACTCAACGCCCCATAAGGAGACGTGCAAGCAGGAATGCCCTCAAACACATATTCTCTTACCTTCACCCTTGATTCATTCAACTAATTTGTTAATTTTGGTTTTTTGGGTTTTTTCTTTGTTATGTTAATTTTTAAAATTAAACAAATTACAGAAGTGTACCAAGAAAAAATATCCAGATCACCCATAATTAACCATTTTGGCATTTTTTTCTAGTTTTTAAGAAAATTCATGCAGTTATTCTTTTAAGATAAAGCATACTGACTTGGAATAAATTTTTTTTTTTT